ATTAACAAGTTTATAATTTGGCTTAAAAATATTTTTTAATTTTGGCCAAAACTTGATAATTCTAGCCAGAATTACACCTGACACACTGGCTGACCCACCCACCTACCCCAAAATCAACTGATTTCTGGAAGCTCCCTTAGTGGAGTGATGAAGTTATCATACCCCAAGTGGTTAAATACAAGTTTAATTCCTATTGAAGATGAAAAATGAATTTCAAAAAATAGATTCAGTAACTATTGTTGTGGCTTGAAAAACTTGAGACCCTGTAACTGTGATTATACCAATTTATTGAAACTAGAAGATCTTGAAGAATTTGTGTGATATATAAGTTACACAAATAGATTTTGGATCGCAAAAAACCACAGGGCCAATATGGTGATAGATATTCACTTGACAAGTTCTGAATAGAGAAGTAATACAGATCTTTGATAGTATTATGTAAAGAATCATTATCAGAAGAACCGGCAAAACTAAACAAGACCAAAGTATTTGGCAAGGCACTCCACCAACCAGAATGCTGAAAGAGTAACCAGAGAAAAAGGATCTAACTGTGGAAACCAAGAACAGGTTATAACCCTTCTAGGCCATTTGGATTAGTAGTTTGAGATAGTTGGGAATACTGTAGATGGTCTGTAATATGTGTACTGAAGTTTGGATAAACTTTATAATAGCAGAAGTAGGTTGTATAACAGTGACCAGACCATAGTACCCAATATAGAAACTGGGTGGTGGGTCTTAGCCTGTACATATTAACCGAGGACTAGATCAGCTAGATTGTAGGTACAGAAAGCTCTAGCAGATTTACTTCGAGGATAAAAGGTTTTTGAAGTAAAGAACCTGTCTTAAAGTTCTATGTTGATATTCAAAATTAAGGGTTTTCGCATTAGATTCTTGCTCAGTTAATAGAATAACCATATAGATGCAAAGGGTTTAAATAAATAACCTCCTAGTCGGGTTATAGATATGACATCTAGTGTAAAACTTAGTAATAAGCAAACTACTTAAATAGACAACCAAAAGTTGTATATGTAGTTAGTTGTACTCTCCAAATATATATACAGTATGAAAATCATACTGTAAAAATTATAACTATAACTGAATAAAGAAACATGACAAAGAGGTCACCTTAATATTGAAAAAAAAAAGAAGTTATAAAACTAAAAAATTATTTTAAAAACAAAAAAAATTAAATTTTTAATATAAAAAAAAATCAAACTAAAACCAATTAACAATAAATTTACTTGATATAAAAAAATTATTAATAAACTCTTGAAATAAAAAAATGGTATAAAATTTTTATTATAAATCCAACTATCCTTCATATTATATCACTTTTAATTATATTCAAAATATACAAATCTAAATAAATATTTGATTACTCTAATAAATTTAGATTGTAAAAAGCTTAGTCTAAGCTTTTATTCTTGTATATAAAATTTATCTTTATATTTATACTTGTACAAATTTTGGTAACTTCGTACAGTTACTATTTAAAAATTACTAATAAATATATGAGCAAAACCTTACCTTAATACCAAAAAAAAACGAAAAATGTGAATTTGTAACAAGCTAATGTACAATATAATATTAAGCATCGAATCATCAATTTCAAACCATATTGCAAAGTATACATATACAGTCGGCCCTCTCAGAACCGGTATGCATGGTGGACGGGTTTAGTATCGGAAATGGCAGGTTATCGGTTATTACTTATGGAACGGGTGTCTGGTGGATTGATTTTAAACCGATTTTGGCAGGTTATCGGTTTTGACAGGATCGGTTCTGAGAGGGCCGACTGTATTTATATCAATAAACACATAACAACAAAAAAGAAAATATACTGTAGGTTTTTAAAAAGTTCGAAAAAAAGCTTCATTATTAAGTTATATTAATTTTACCCGTTTTAATAAGACATCACTGTTACATTTAAATAAAATAATTAGTATAACAGTATTAGTGTTTATTTAAGATTAAAAATACAGATCAAAGGAGTGTATTGTTCGTTTATCGTATTAATAAAACGGTAACAAACAAATGTAAGGGTGGGTTATTATTTTACGGCGACACGTTCCCAAAAGGATGAACATTAAAGTTTGAGAAAAGCAGAATGCTAGTGAATGACACGGCATAAAGGGACGTTATGGATTAATAGGTACTACTTCGATTAAGTTGATTCATCTTGAGATGAATCAAAAGAATAGAAATGTGGTTCTTAAAAAGCGTTGTGAAAATGTAACGTCAACATTGTGTAGTCACAATATCGTACGCATACTGCTTCAAACTTTGTGTGAGTTCATCCAATCTCACGAAGTCGCCCACAGGATAAATTCGAATAGGATAGGAAAATAATATTAATTAAATATGTGAATACATATTGCATAGGAAAGATGGGGTAACCAAAAAATCTATAAACAAATAAATAATAATCAAATACAAAAAAGGGGAAAATTCTAATACTATAAAGTTATTATATTGACCCAAACTGTACCCAAATTGTATCATACTCGAATCAGAAAGTCATTTATTACCCTCGCAACTCGAAAATGAAGAATTATGTCTATGAGATACGATGTTGTTGGAATCCTCTACAGAACCACTATCAGCCCTACGTACAGAAGCGGACATTAAATATTTTTCAGTTTTAATAAACTTTGGTACAGAATCCGTAGCCATGAGCCTGAAAATTGTATCCTGAATTTTATCATACAAATTACCAGTTATTTTATTAGATGATGAGTTCTCGTTAGCTATCATTGTCATGTATTGAATCATGTGCTGTTTTAAACCAAAATCAATGTTCAACTCATGAGGTGATTGAGGAGTTAGGTAAGTACTATAAATTCGGAAGGCATCATCGATAAGAGCTTCTTGTTTACTATCCTCATTTATGCTTGTATTGTATTTTGTTTTGAATTCCTTAACATCCATAAGGAACAATAAATTTTCTTCACAAAAATTGGCCTTCGAAAATTCCATAAATAAGGAACGTAAAGAAGGGTCATCCAATATTTGTTGAAGTTTTTTTGTATTAGATTCCTTGGTAGTAGAATAGGCATGCCCATCTTTGTCGTTAACAGAACTACGATGTGGTTTAATATCATTAGAAGAATTTTGAGAAGAACCGCCGTTTAACTCGTTTGTATTTAAACCATTTTGCTGAGAAAGATTGGTAGTACTCTTGTTTTTCCCGATTTTAAGAGAATTTGTACCATTATATAAATATTGAGGATTAGAATTGCTAAGAACATCATAATCCCATGATGCTATCCGTCGTCCATGATCAGTAATTTGATAATACGTAGATTTAGAATATCTAAAAGCATTTTGTTTCTTTTTGTCATCATTAATTTTTTCCGAGACGCATTCTATGAGACCATAACGCATAAATTCCGAACCAATTTTCACGGCTTCCTCCTTGGTAATCAAAGTCGTAAAATCGCATAACCATTCAGCAGCGGCAAAACCAGAAAAAGTATGATGATACAATCTATGATTAAATAGTCTATCTTTTATCTCAATTCCAAGGCTGCGATCACCCTTTTCGGTGGATGAGCAAGAACCTGAATCGGAAGCAGATTCCTTGGTGTATTCCGTATCATAGTTTGTAACGTCATTTGGTCTAGTACCAACTAACTTTTTGAAAATTAACTCAACATTTTGCTTATTTAAGATAATAGAATCATTATCCAAACTTCGCTCGACATAATATAGTTTTATCGGTAAAGTTTGTGAAGCAAATAATTTTGTTAAATGTGGAGCGGTGATTCCATTTCTAGCGACAAAACGCTCCAAAATATATAGACCTTTTGGAGTAAGACCATATACATTTCTGTCTTTGAAGGACCGACTGCTTGAATCCGCAAGGTTTACGAACAACTTAGAGTCCATAAAAGTTTGGCACACACTTTTTGCCATTTCTTTTGTCATGCTGAAAGTAGTAGTAGTAGTGGTCGTTATGATGCGTGAAGGGTCTTTCGGATCAGGAGTCCGATGTGATTGAGTAAATTTCAAAGAACCAAGGTTAGCAATAGCTTCCTCTGTTGTGAATGAATTAGAGTAATTTCGAAATAAATATCGATGCGATTCCATTGGCAATGAAACGACCAGTGTAGAATACAAATCATGTATATCCTAAAATAAAAAGATCGAATTTATTTTTTAAAACGTTAATATCTATGCATTTATTGATACAAAAAAACAGAAATAACATAAATATATGCTATTAAGTATAAATTCTAATTTTGAATCTAAGGTTCACCATGAAACACTACCGAATGAAATTCAGTGATATAACGAATATGCTACTCTTAGCAATTCTTCACCCGCTCTAAATCCTCAGTCACCTAATATTCCGTTAAACTAACCTTTACAAAAGGTCTTCCAGACCTTGTTGTTTTCATCATATGTGTTGAAGATTGTTGGTGTACTTGTGAATGATTAGACGCCATGATTTGTGTATATATAATTTTATTTTTTATATAAATAAATTTTTATTTTATATATGTATAAATAAATTTTTTTTTATTATTAATTTATTTTTTTTTTTGTTTCCTTTCAACAGAAAAAAAAAAATGCTCGACAAAATAAAGTGTGTGCGCTTAAACTTTTACAGACGAAAAGACAAAAATTTAACAAGAAGGGTTTAAGAAGAAAAAAAAAACACTGGTTTTGATTTATGTAGTATACAAAAATTGGAAACAAAAAAAAATGCAACGTGATGAGGTGCTTGTGTTAATCGTAATGGTAATAATGGTATAATATTTATTTAATGCTTTCCTCACAACAATGAATGTTTTTTTTTTAAACATAAAGTACTTGTCAAACATTGAAATTCTATTTTGAGCTATCTTACCCATTAAAAATCGGATTAAATTTAAATCGATTTTTAAATAGAAGTTTTTCCAACCGGTATTTCCCGGCATATTTATTTACATAATAATGTAATACAAAAATTTTGACTACGTATGCTGAACTTAAGAATATTTGGTACGTACGTACGTACGTATTTCGAAATAAGAAAATTATAATTTGGAAGATTTACGTCGCAAAAGATCGACTTAGCTTTCATTATCAAAAAAAAACTCGCCATCACCCATTATGTTCATAAACAAATATTCTTCTCAATATGAACAATACATACCAGCCAGTGATGCACATAAGAATCGGCTGCACACTTATAGCAGGTTGAAATGTCAAATCTGCCATATAATCTTCACACGAAAGCATAGTGAGGATCTTTAAGCAAATATTATGTTTCAGATAATCTCTGATATTCGTAAATATCTAAAGCTTTATTGAAATTAGACAACACATAATTTAACTCGTACAACCCACAGTTTTGTTTCGGATAGGGTTTTATGAAATCTAAATTCATTGAACATTCAAAGGTATTACAATTTATGTTTATGTTATATTAAGTGTATATTTTTGATGTTACATTTAGACCTCGCGGACCCCCTCGTGGTGAACGATACATGTCTGTAAATTCATAGTGATATATGCTACTAGATGCATTTATACTTTAAAATAATAAGGTTGCATTGATAAAGCGCACATCTTCCCGAATAAAAATTCTATCGCTATATGATGTAATCAAAACAATCGGTTCTTGGTTTCGTTCCATGTGACTTAGGCTACTTATTTTTAAAAATTCATGATTAGCTGAAACTGCAACACAAATATAAAGTAATTATTAAAGTAATTATTATGTAGCTCCCATGCAAAATTAATATTTCTCGGTACACGCGATATTCTATAACTTACACTTAAGACTTTGCATTAATCTTATACAGCAGAGCACATCAGGGCTTCGTCTTATTGTATCTAATTGATAAACATTTTGAAAAAGGATTATGCATTCTGACAATTAGATCATTCTTTACTGATTCTTTGTTTAAAGACAATGAAACACTTCAGGGGATTCATTAAGTGGGTTGATCACTGTATGCCCAGATTCCTCCTAATACATCCGTTATTTTATTTCATTTATTAATTCGGATTACAATCATCCGTTGGATCTACAAGTATGTAAGTAGTTGGATGCATGCTCCGACAAATATCAACCTCTGATCTTGACCATCATGATCATACATGCTAACGAGATAATAATATCTTTTTGTTTTCCAATTTCTCCAAACTAGGCACGCAGAAATTCTACTTATTATGCTAAAAATGTCATGCCTATTATTATATGCTCTTTTTCATGACATGGTTCACTTTACAGCTTAATGTACATGCGTACATCAAATATAGATTGAATGCACTTCCATAATATTTAGTCCTGCACTGCATTCTTTGGAAAACCGAGCTCGTAAATTATTACTATCTAGATAATCTGTTGATTTACATGGCATCGTATAATGTGAGCAATAATTGTTTGGATGCAAAAATCTTATCGGTATGGTTTTCAACAAATAAGTGATCATTATTCCATGGATTCGCTAGAACAAAAATATATCGATATCACACATTTTTAGAAATCCAAAAAGAAAAAAATATATTTTTTGTTGTATCTATTTGAAACATCTTTGTGACATCACAAATAATATACTTTGTTTTATAAACATATTTGTGCATATGCACATCTATAATCTCAATTTTACTATCAGCTATATACAGTACGTACGTACGTAACGTATATATTTTCGTTCCTATATGCTATGTAATAATGTGACAAACGATTTGATTGGTTAAAGTCTGTACACTAAACAATTTCATCATAGGATCATTCAAAGAACATATAAAATCTATCTCGCAACCCATGAGTTAATTTATTTTCATATATTAGTCAAAAATTACAAATTGTAATAATTTTTTTAATACTTCAAGAAGCAATCCCTGTAAAAATCGGTCCTGTATACCAGTTTAAGAGTTAAACGGTGGATACCTAAGTATAATATACCGTAAACTCTCGAAACTGCGCACTATTTCGGGGTTTCACCGACAACTCATTTAGCTGACATCACTCCAGGTGAAATTTAGTAAAAATATATACCTGTAACTTATCAAATGCTAAACCCTAACCCTATGTGATGTCGGCTAAATGCTATTTCGAGTACGTGAGCCTTATTTCGAATATAGGTAAGTGGACTGGTTCGGACCGGATCTCAGACCAGACTTTTTAGGGCGGTCTGAAACTAGTCCAGATAAATTTAATAAAATTGAATCATGGATACTTTCGGCATTCTGCTTTCAAAATTATCTATATTGTATATTAAACTGCTGGGTTAGATCCGGACTTTTTAAGAACCGGTGTTAAGGGAGTGCAATATCATACGATTAGTTCAGGCATCGTACAAGTTACACGAAGTAAATATTTATTAGCGTTAGGGATTCAGCTATTAAGGAGAGTAATTTAGTTGGAAAATACGTTATTATTTTATTTATTATATAACAAGCAGAGCAACATATATTTTATAAGTTTGAGCATCATATTTATACAATTTACTTTCAAAGGGGTTTCAAACCTTGCTAGGGGTTACAATCCACCTCTGAGGGTTATTCACCCACGTTGAGGGTCATTCGAATGACCCCCGTTTTACGGTCATGTGAAATATTTGTTATATGGTGCATGTAGCCTAGAACCGGAATCACGTGATTTAAATACATATATCTTTAAAAATGATTTATAATTAATAAATATATATATACATTTGAAAAAATCTCT